TTGCCCTTACTTAATCTCTGTAGATTAAATTCAATTGCAGACATAGACTATCCTCACCAATGGGCATCTCTGCTTCATTATCCTACAGGAGAAAATGAGAACTAAGTGTCATGCTATGGAAATGACCATAGGGGTCAACTGTGAAAAACCTTCTCAGAGAAGTAACCCCTGAATACAGAGCATCTGAGTTTGTGAGGGGAGCAATTCACTTTGCAGCCACGCAAAGAGGTCAATTAAAAAAATGATCCACAAATGAGAATTAACTGCTCCTTCCTTCCATCCAGGGCAAAGAGATGAGCATCTCCAGCACAACAGGAACCAAGAGCAGGGTCCAAGAAACAGCTGTTCGTGGTGATTTACACCATTTCTTATCGTTCCTTCCCCTTCCCCAGAAATACAGGCCAAAGCTTTGGGCTCTCAGCTATCACTCAGATATCACTCAGCCAGCTGGGTCCACCTGCAGGACACAGCACAGTCATCACTCCAGACACAGAAACAACTCAGACCTGCATTCTCCCCCCTAAGAACCAGTCCAGCTCCCCAGGAGGTACACTGAAGAACAGGATAATGCATTTGAATGTGACTCTTACAGCAGCAAAGTTTGATATTTCTGGCAATTTGCTCCAGCTCTGCTCCTGAATGCCACCCCTTCCCACAGGAGGAGAGGGGCAGAGCTACACTCCATGCCTGCTAAAAACAACCTGCTGGTGTCAGATGAGCCCCAGCACTGGCACGAGGGCGGTACGCAGAGCCGCCAGGCACCACATCCATCCCTGTGTCGCCAGGTGCTGCCGAAAGCCCAGACCTCCAACCTAGTTCTGCTCCAAACTGGGAGGAATAGGACTTGGCCCAAAGTGTTTATGTTTTCCTTCCAAATAAACTGGCCTTGTCTCAAAGCCCTCTGCTCGTTCCTGTGTCAGAGGAGCGGTGCGGCGGATTCCTCGCATAGCACTGCAGACCACTTGGTGATACGGTCGCTGGGCACACAGTGCATTCCAGCTATGCATGTTGATAGCTTGAGGGGAATCTGAGAAGTCAGAGGAATGTGACATTTGTGCTCATTATCATTTTTTTCCCCCTATGGTTTATTTTCCTAGTAGCCGGATAAATTATTGTGATCCATTGGAAAATCGTGCAAGTCATCCTGTATAATTATTTTGCGAGCAATATTGTTGAAACAAGACTAAAGAAATTACAGGCATTGTAGCAAATTAAAATCCTAAACGCACTTGCAGCTGTGTGGAATGAGGCCTTTGTTTTACACTACAGTTCCATCAGTGCTCCAGAGTCCATGATTTCTGAGCACTGAACGACGTGGCGCCATCCACCACTTCTCTCCAGGAACGACCAACCTCGACCCTGAGAGATTTCAGGCTTTAGTGAGGGTTGCACCCAAAGCTTCAGGTGCTTTAGGACTCTTTCCTCTCCTGTCAGCTCTAAAATAAGAACATTTTCCTAGCCCGCTTTTGTTATTTCTATTTATCATATGTAGCTTTTTTTTAATGTTAGACCAATTGTTTGCACTCGGCACTCTGCACATCCCAAAGGCCTACGGACGGGTTATAAGAGAGCAAAAGAAGGTGAAGACAGTGGCTTATCACACAGGAAATCACGTGGATAGGTCTGGCATCTAAAGATGGGTGGTCCCAGGGCCCGCACTTGGGCTGAAGGCTCTTAGGACCCATTCAGGGGTTGACAGGACAAGGGGGAATGGTTTTAAACTGAGACAGGGGAGGTTGAGGTTGGATATCAGGAGGAAGTTTTTCGCACAGGGTGGTGAGGCACTGGCACAGGCTGCCTAAGGAGGCTGTGATGCCCCATCCCTGCAGGCATTCAAGGCCAGGCTGGATGTGGCTCTGGGCAGCCTGGGCTGCTGGTTGGATCTGCAGGGGGTTGGATCTGATGAGCGCTGTGGGCCTTTGCAACCCAGGGCATTCTGTGACTCTATGATTCAGGCTCTGTAGAAATGAGATTAAAGGCCATGAGCTTACTGCTCCCTCCCCCAGCTGGTGAAAGCCAGGCTCCATGTTGGTCTCATCCAAGCAAACCTGGGTTTGAATGTGACATCCTCGCTAGAGCAGTGCTGGCCCAGCGAAGGCCACGGCCCCAAAGCACAAAGCAGCGCTCCAACACTGAACAAACAGCTGCAGGACTGGGCTCTAAGCACCCCAACAGGGACAGTGGGACAGGTTTAAGGCAGGAGATGGAAGCGTGGTGAATTCTGGAAGGCAGGGAGCAAACTCACCTCATTTCCCAGGTATCAACATGCTGATGGGGCCGCACTGCCTCGCTGTGAGGAGCTGCTCAAACTCAGAAAGCCTTCCTGCTGCCTCTGGAGATGATCTTAGCCCTGAATTATGAGGCAGCACGGCCCAGAGGCAGTAAAGCAAGGCTGTGATAGATGCCTATAGAATACAGACAGAATAGGCACAAATAGATTTGATTACCCTTATCTGTGCCTGCAGAACAATATACTGCAATTTAACGTGGAATAATTGCATTCCTTTCTTTATCCTCTGGAAAGTTAAGACCCCTGAACAATAAAAAAAATAGCTTGTCATTCTTGCTTTGTTAATTACTTCCATGGAGGTTAATGCAAGATCTTTCTATGGAGTGACAGAAAGGATGACTGTGCTTTAAACCCATCTGGATCCAGTCACTGGCTACGCACTTCCATGTACCTTCACTGAACCCAACCATCCTCTGTGCCTGTATGTATTTTCAGCCTCAAGCTAAAGAAAATGAAGCATTAAGATTTCTACCCATTGTAAAATATTTTATATAATTTCACGATCTTATCTGTTAGAATACTGTTTCTTTCCACTACAGTTCAGATTCACATCACATGAAAATAGCATCCAGCCAATGCAGGTCTGAAAATACTGGGCCAAATTCAGTTGCAGAATTTCAGAAGGCCTTCAGCATTTCAACTCCTACCCGATTTTAATACAGTGCTGCCTTTAATGCCATTTCCTGCAGTATTTTTATTTCAATGTATTTGATCATTTCGTAAATGCATTCCTACTGATGGCACTGAAGCAAAGCCAGCTTTACCTGCTAAGAATCTAACCACTGATTCAAGCTATAGATGCAGTCAGCTGGAAAACCATTAAAGCTAAAACACTCTCGCTATGAAGTGCCAATCCATAGCAAGACTAATAGAAGGCTGCACTTACCCAAATGCACACAGCCCCTCACAGCACAATCCACTGGCACCAGTGCTACACAAAGGTAACGAGAAACAACTCCCGTGCTGCACTATCCCATCATTTCACACCTTCACAGTTAACATTCTGTGATAAGCTTAAAAACAGAACCAACCGAAAACCCTTTCACCAAAATGTGGTCAATATTCTGTGTAGATATCTGATTTCTTACAGATATCTGCCATTTTATACTTGCAGATTTTAATATCCTGTACCCCTCAACCACACAGTAATTCATCTTTTCAGAATGAATACGTTACCTGTTTACATTTGCACCTTTTAGGACACCAACACACCAAAGTATTCCAAATTAGTCCTGAAAACGTCCCAAATTGTAAAACCTTTGACTTTCCGAGATACAAAGGCCTTTATTCCTAAGGTGCTCCTTTGCCAGTCTAAGACAACTAATCAGCCATGGAGGGGGAGCAGGATCATAACCGTATTCAAATCAAGGCACAGGTATCAGTAGAGGCAAACTTTTGCTCGACCTGATGAGAAGAGGCATGGAGTATCACCCACTTCTAATTAGAGGTTGATGTGTAGAACGTCTGAAAATCAGGGCCTGCCTTTGTGATCTCACAGTAAACCACAGCTGTTCACACACACAAGCGTGTGTGCATGGAGCCCTCAGGTTACTGTAGTAGGAAGAATCAGAGAAGGGTCTGACGTGGGGAGGATAAGAGCCAGCAATGCTGCTGGTAACATTTCACATTTCTGACAGCAGGTGAAACCAGGGAACCGGCCTGTATCACAAATTCCAGACAAACTCCCAAACGGTTTCATTAGTGAAAATCAAGAGGCTCATCCCAGAAGCTCAGAAGAAAGGAATGCTCTTTAAACCCACTGGGGCACTGCTCAGTGCAACTCTACCCCACATGCTACTAGAAATTCACCAGTTTGCTGGTTGGTGCTTCATTCATTCTAGCTCTTCCACAGGAGCCAGACTCGTCGGAGGAACACTCTGAGTATTTCATGGCTCAGATAGGAATAAAGCCTGCTTAAATCTATTTATGGAGGGGGAAAAAATTGTGCACGGTCAGCTTGAACCATGTGGCTTAACAGGCTTTTGCCTCAGGAAAAGGATAGGTTTATTATACCATGACACATACAAAGAGTGAGAAAACAGCTTCAGGAGCCTTAAAGGATTGGGAGGAGTTCAGCAGATTTCTTAAGAGAACACCACACTCCTGCTAAAGCCCTGGCACGTTTTCCTGAGGCAAAAAATGCCCCTGTAGCCAAAGGCCTTCATCAAAATTGGCACTGAAATACAGCTCCCATGGGTGGCTCGGAGTCTCCCCTCCCCTGGGAGGAGGAGGAGTGCATTGCTGAGCTTCCCCTGGAAGAAACCTGCAGGGAATCGATCCCTGTAGGTGGAGGCTCACTGATGTTCTTTTGCTTACAATTGCGTTTCTGTTCCGTGAGCTGCATTCAGTGGCTGGGTGGGGCATTTTGCTACCGCTGTGCTGGGGAAACAAAAAAAGTCAGTCTCTGCCACCAAATGGGAAGGCAGGGCGGGGAAAGGAGGGTGTCTGTGTGTGCAGGGGCTCCTTTCTTCTTCTGCCCTCCTCCCCGTGCACATACACACACACCTGCAGAGAGCACAGGGATAACATTAAAGGTCTGCCAAGGAGGCTGTAGTAGAGATGCTGCTTCTTAGGGGAAGACACTGACTGCCACGTACATGCAAGCGACAAAAGCAGGAAACGCAGGGTGGAAATGATACGTCCCTCCTGCAGCCCACTGCATGTGCAAGCTGCAGCTCCATCAGACACACACACACATACGTGCACCCACCTTGTCATTCAGGTTCTGCAGTGCCTCCTTCCCAGTGGCACTCCTGATCTCCACCTTTCTTCCGAAATCAACAGATGGTTCCCCTCCCTTCCCACTCTGTCTGGAATAGACAGACTGAGCATCCGGACCCAAGTGGGCGACATCCTTCTGCTTTGCCACCACTTTGTTAGATCCGCGGCCCACCGAGAGGGAGTCGAAGTCGATGGTCTTGTTCTCCAGGGAGCCTTCCACCGGGCAGAACATGCCACAGAATTTCTGCCGGGGCTTCGGACTGCCCGAGCCCAGGTTTTTGAAGAAGGCTGGCACTTCTTCCTCCTCGCCTTGCCGGCCAGACTGCTTCTTCTCAGCCATGGCTCGTGTGATCTCCCTGCTAAGGGGAAATAACAACAGCAGTAACCAGGAGGATCCTTCACACACACACACACACACAAGCAAAAAGAGGTGGAAAAAAAAAAGAGATCGCTCAGGGTCCTAGAGACACGGCAGCATCAATGGCAGAGGGCTGTGCCTGGCAAATCCCCTGCCCCCATCGATACAATATAGTCTGTGGCTCGCTCTCTTTTCTTTGATGCAGTGCAAAGTTGAGGGAAGGTTGGGGCAGATCCTGCTGCAATCAAGGGAGGAGGGTTCAAGTTCCCAGCATCCAGATGGGGAGGGAGGGAGAAGGAGAGAGAGAAAAAAAAAAATCCTCACTCTGCAGCAGAAACTGGGGACTGATCCGGAAGTGATGCGAGTGGTGAATTGGCAAATGGACTCGATCAGGTTGGAGCAACAGCCCCCATCGGTGCTCGCCGCCTCCTCCAGCGCGCTGCTCTCGCTACAAGTTGCGGAGAGACTGGCGGAGCCCGAGCACCCCCCGCATCTCCGGAGGCGTGTTCCCCACGCGGGGGAGAAAGGATCGCTTCCTTCCTCCCCCCACCCTCTCTCCTACCTCCCCCAGCCCCGCAATGGTGGAGTCGGGGAGTGCTCCGGGAATCCTATTGTTCCTCACTTTTCTCAAGGCAGCGCAGCCGGAGGGCGGGGAGCGGCGGAGATCGCGGCTGGGCTCCTGGGGCCGGCGGGAGGCTGAGCGCTGACTCATCTTTCTGGGGTTTGGGGCATCGCTGGTGCCGGGCCTCTGATAGTCCCTCTTGGGGAAGGGGGGAAAGGGGCTGATGGATGGCACTGGAGAGAGAATGAAAAAGAGAAACAGATGGGAGAGGGATGTGGGAACCGAGGGAGGGGAGAAAATGAGCCGTTAACCAGTACTTACCTCGCGAAAGCGAAATTAGTGACCTAGCAAGTCAATTAAGCCTGGGCAACGGCAGAAGCCCCCCAGTCCCTCCCCGGGGAGGGGCGGCGGCCCGCAGCCGTGCGGGGGGGCAGAGCGGCGGCGGCCCCCGCCCGGCGGAGCTGTCCGTTCAGCACCACCCGCGCCGCGGGGCCCGGCCGCCTCCTGCTACGGCAGCCGGGATCGTCGCCCCCTCGTTCCGTCGGGTTTGCCGCTAAACCGACGGCCCCAGAGGGTGCCGATCCGAGGGAGAGTTGTCCCTGTCGTTTCTGTGGGGGTATTTTCTGCGAGGCCGGAGAGATGGGTTACGTGGGAGATGTTTTTATTGCAAAGGTAAGCGGTGAAGCACGCAGTGGTGTTCACTTGGTCTCCACCTGATAAACGTTATTAACACCACTGACTCGGGCCCGTAAGGCTAATTCATGTGCAGTATTGCTCTGAACCAAGCCCAATCACCAAGCTATGTATTACTATGCATTATTCATTGATATGCATCTTTGCACATGCACATTAAATGGTAATTTAGAGGCATCTGTGTCCAAGCGGTTACCCAGCACCTTAGCAAGACTCAGACCCCAAAAATATCAAAAGCTGTAAATAAATGATTTACAAAAAAGAAATCTCAGAGCTCTCTCTCCCTGTGAGCAGCACCCAACTCAATGCATTTTTACCAATAGGTGGATGGAGAAAAAAAGAATCACCCAAGGTCACAAACAAGTGAAGCCCCATAATAAATGCACAACACAATGCATTAAGACTCCAGACTAAAAGGAAAGAAAGAAGCCTCGAGCTTGGCCTCGAAGGATGACGGCGATGTGCTCTGGTAACTAATGAAGGAGGGAGGAGGCCTTCGATAGACGCCCTTGGGGGAAAAGCTCCAACCCTTTCCCTTCTGGGACTTGGACAGAAGATCAGCCAGGCTTGTGGTCACAGGGATCGCAGGTGCTTTGCTGGGAATTGGAGGCCAACATATGGTCTCTCAGGTACCCTGAAGTCCTGTATTATTTAAGGTTTATAAATATTAATGGTCATAGCATTGCTGATCAGGCAATCCACAGAAGCTGCAGAGCTGATGGCCCCAGCGAGCTGGAAGCCTCGAAGTGACTGTGTCGACACGTTCTGCAGCTTGCTGAAATGCACGCAGTGGCTTTCAGGGAGAGCCTTAAATCGAGCTCATTCATCACTTGGCACATCCCTGGAAGACGCTCCGATGGCCCCTTGTGAAAGGACAGCAGGAAAACAATCTGCCAAAAAAGCCAGGCTGGAGGCTGGGAAACGGCTGAGACAAGAATCAAATCCTGCAGATGAGTCTGCAACTTCCAAACACCTCAGACCTGATGAAGGTCGCTCCCAAAAGGATGGTGGAATTACTGAAAGGCATCTCTGACTAATCCTTCTGACTGGCTATTTCACAGAAGTGGGACGTGCAAACACTCTGTATCTCTGTGGTCCATTTATGGATGCTGAAAAACCATGGGGTAACTTTTTAAAAGTTTCTACTCCCACACCTGAAACTCAGGTAACAAATCTTGAGAAATGTTTAATAGCAGCCAATTCAACTCTTCTTTTTTTGTTGTTGTTGCTATTGTTATACTCGAACTAAAGCATTTTGATACATCTGCATGCCCTCATAGTTCTATTTCTCTTATAAAAGGAATGCGATTATTTGCAGATAAACTATTGAGTAATACATGAAGGAAAAAAAAAGATCTTCAGTTAATATTATCCACACCTGCTATAACAGAGATGGAAATTGAATGTTATCACAATGTTGGCTTTTCCCAATATCAAAACACCCTGGACAAGTGACTTCTAGTCATATTATCTCAACTGTAAATAAATAAAGTGATGAATTGAGGACTTGCACAGCTTACCCCAAACTGCAGAGGAAAGAAGTGGCAGAATAAGCTTAAATTAAGATTCTTATATGCTCGTACACAGGAGTTCTAAGTGACACAAGTACTCACTACCTTATGCCCTGCAGCAGCACATGAGAGAAGACAACTCCTAACTGAAGTTTACAGCTGAGTTCACAAAGACAAGAAAAAGGATCACATTAAGAACTGAAGGACTTCACAAAGATCCCTTTGCCAAAGGGAAACAAACAAACAAACAAACAAACAAACCGGATGCAGAGGGGAAAATGTGAGCACAAAGACATGGAGTAGGCAGACTCTTTGTCAAGCAAGTGGAAAACTGAGTCTCTTCCCTTACATACTGATGCTTCCACTGTGCTGCCATATTCTAACATCTGCGGCCTGCCCAGACAAATCCAGGAGCTCAGGGCTCCTCTGCCAACCTGCTCTGCATCAGTGGCTCCAGTGATTCCTGATCTCCAGTTCCATCTGGCTGAGATGCGCCCACTTCTCGTGTATCACATGATGAATGATGCTCTATTAAATTTCCTTGCTGTAGTTACTTGCATGTGCAGGGCAAAGCTTGATTTGAAATGGCAACAGTGCAACGTAGCTTGATGCTGACTTATTTGTCTACCATTCCCTTAGCTGAGGGGGCTGCTGCAAAAATAAACTTCAGATACTAAGAATGCAGTCAGAAATTACGGCAGTATATCCTGCCATTAAATTGACATTATCTAATTGACAGCAACCACTTCCAAATCTGGGGCTCTTCCTACTGCAGATGATTATCAGTATTTCCACTGGGTGCAAGATTTATCACAAAAAGATCCCTTGGAAATACAGATTCTTGCAGAGGCAGAGCTTTATAAAGTCAAAGCCACCCACAGAAAGGAAGCAGGTGTATGTGCCAAACCACAGGCTTACATGGAGTGAAGCACAGGAGCAAATTCTAGTGAAGAACTAGACATCTTTATTTCAATGCCAGCCCTTCCATTAAGTCTAATTGGCTCATAACTTAAGAATACAGCTTTGTGCTCAGAACTAAATCAAGTTGATATGGCATTTTCAGCTGGGTCCAGTGAGAGAGAGGGGACACAGCAGTGAAGTCAACTGATTGCTCACACTGAACACAGAGGAAAATCGTGGTGCCTGGGAGCATGGGGCTGAGAAGCACAGCTCCATCGAATTTCCCTGCCTGGCCACACGCTGGGGCAGCCCACCTTCCTCTCCCTGGCTGTGCCCTGCCTACTGCTGACCTCTGCATCTGATTCTGGAGTTTTCCTTTACTAAGGTGTAGGTTCACCACAAGAGCTGGCAGTGATTAACTGCACTTCCAGAATATTCCTGGAACATCACAAGTCAAGCCAAATCTTTAAATGCTTGACTGGGTTGGAATTGTTCTGGCACAGCACAAAGACTGAAAGACCAAGTTGTGCGCAGAGGAATCATTAACCAAGTTCCCGTTGGGATATGATAATTGCTGGAGTGGTTGACAGCTTTTTTTGGCATTGAGCACTCAAAGATGAGACATTATTTCAAAAACACCAAAGAACAGAGGAAAATCTTTTGATAAATGAGCGAAGTCCATTCAAGTGCAGCAACAAAGCCCATTTATTTCCATGGACCTTCTTTATTTCTGCCTATCCTGTGCCTCTGTTTTGCTTTATGGCTTTGTCCTCAGCAACCTCAACTGATGTAAATCAGCCTGGGTGAGTTTCTGCCAATCAAGGTTTGTTGCCAGTGGGTTTTAGTCCCTGAAAACAGATGGTTTGAAAGCCACATTGTGCCACCGTGCCCACAGCCAACAGTACAAATATTTAGCCAATTAGAAGGGGATTTTCCAAAGGCACAAATGGAAATTAGGTATACAACTCCCATGGACTTCCAGAGAGAGTGGAGAGCCTTACTGCCTTCAAAACCTCTTTACTGGGCACCGGGCTGCTCTCAAGTCAGACATTTCCAGCCATTCTCAAGATGATAATCCTGGGCAACAGCAGGAGGAATCATTCTGAACTGCTCAGTGCTTAAGACAGAAGTTCCACCCCAACTGCTGATTTCATCATGGTCCATAAATGTCCTATGACATTTTGAAGCCCTAACAATAGGTTGGCGAGGATGGATTACAGCTGAGTATTGAAGCATCTTTCTTCCAGACAATGTCATTAAGAGAACTCACCCGTCTGACCACAAAAAGGCATCATTAAATATTAACATTTCCTCTGAACACCTCCCTAAGAATACGGCAGCTCTTGGTGTGCTGTCATTAAA